AAAGGAGGAGGATTGGCAATAGATGTTAGCTCAGAGCCGGTCTTCCTCAGCAAAAAGAGGAGGATTAGCACCAATGTTAGCTCAGGGCTGATCTTCCTCACAAAAAATTAAAAAAATGTCCTTTTGGCTTTGCAAATTGAAATGCGTTGGATCTGAGAAAGGCTTAGGAAATCCGATGTGGGGGGTTTCAGAAGAGAAAGAAGAGCGCCGAGGTGCTCTTCTGCTCCCTTAGAAAGTGTCATTTCTAGACTTTGAAAATATTATACTTAATTCTTTCAGCTGGCTGATAATAGGTAGCTGTTTTCCAAATCTTACTTCTTCCTAGCAGATTAATTTGGGGAAGAAAGAATGAAATGTAGAGATTCCTGAGAACTGTTATATTGTCATATGATTACTTTCAGAATAAATACAGAAATATAAAGATATCTATTTAAAATTATGTAAAAGTATGTCACATTAAAAACAAAATACTAGAGGGAACCAAAATCTTAAAAGCTTTGGATTTTTTTTTTTTTTTGCTGAAGAAGATTTGCCCTGAGCTAACATCTGTGTCAGTCTTCCTCTATTTTGTACGTGGGTCGCTGCCACAGCATGGCCGCCGACAAGTGGTGAAGATCCTCGCCTGGGAACCAAACCCAGGCGGCCAAAGCGGAGTGTGCCAAACTTAACCACTAGGCCACGGGGCCGGCCCCTGGAATTTTTTAATATTTAAATTATGTAGTATTTGATACATTTTTGGATGGAGGATAATTCTGTTTTTTATTTCTGATTTCTGAAATTTGATGCTTCAGCTTTTCTTCTTTTCTAATGTAAGCATTTAAAGCTTTTCATTTCCCTCTAAGTTCTGCTTACCTACGTCCCATCAGTTTTGATATATAGTATTTTCATTATCATTTAAGACTGAATATATTTTAAATTTTTGTTACAATTTCTTCTTTACTTCTTGATATTTAGAGATGTGTTTTTAAATTTCCAAACCTATTGGGATTCTATTTATTCTTATTTATTGGGATTCTGTTTATGCTTTTGTTATTAGCTTTAAGACACTTGCCCTATGGTCAGATGACGTGGGCTATGCGTTACAGCTTTCAGTTGTGTTAAGCCTTGGTAAAATTACTTTGCTTCCAATTTGAACCCAGCTGTTGCAATTCAGAGCAAAGCAATTCTGATTTATAAACTCTAGTACTTGTCCGTTTTTTCTCAAGAATCTCCAGTTACTAGAACTTTTTTTTTTTTTTTTGTGAGGAAAATCAGCCCTGAGCTAACATCCAATGCAAATCCTCCTCTTTTTGCTGAGGAAGATTGGCCCTGGGCTAACATCCGTGCCCATCTTCCTCTACTTTATATGGGACGCCATCACAGCATGGCTTGACAAGCTGTGCATTGGTGCGCGCCCAGGATCCGAACCTGCGAACCCTCTGGCCACCAAAGTGGAGCACGCGCACTTAACCGCTACACCACCAGGCCAGCCCCTAAAACTTTTTTTTATTGGGCAGGATATGTATTAGTTGTCAAGATTATATCAGTTCTTTTTGTCTATTGTCAGAATCCTGGAAGCAGGTTGATTTCTAGAGTATCAGTAATTATTTCCCTTTTTATTTTCAACAGGAGTATGCTGTGAACTGCCACGTTATCACCTGGGAGAGGATTATCAGTCATTTTGATATATTTGCGTTTGGACATTTCTGGGGCTGGGCCATGAAGGCCTTGTTGATCCGTAGTTATGGTCTCTGCTGGACAATCAGCATTACTTGGGAGCTAACTGAGGTGAGAAGGAGGTGTGGGCAGTTATCTAGACTCTACAGTGTGAATAGTTTACATGTACGAAGAAGATAGTCTGTCCTTTACTAGTCAAGTAACACATTCTCCAGCCTCTGTGGTACAGAACTGTATTTAAACTGTATTGAAAAAAACCTCCTTGTTAACTTAAAGCGTGCCTCTATGTCACAAATTTTAAAAAGAAACAAATGAAATAAAGCTAAAGAATGAAGTTAAAATCCCAAGTGAGACAAATAAATGGTAATGAGGAGATCTGCTTAGAAGTAAATAGGTAGGTTTACCCACTAACTAGTTTCCAGTTTGAGACAAATAGGATTGTGGTGTTTAGGAATGACAAGGGCATCCAGGATGTTTTGTAGCTGAAAAATGGATTCCTAATAGAGCTCTAATATCTCAGCTCTAATGTCTCATTTAATGATTGAAAGAGAAATATTCTTGAAAAACTATTAGCAAAATGAAATTGGAGGAACTAATTCATTTATTATTCAATTATTATATTATTCTTAGCATTATGCCAGTGCTCTGTTGCCAGGTATGAAGACTTGCCTCATTTTCCCCTCCTGGATCCTTGTCATGTTGCCATTAGCCAAGGTAATTCATTGGTAGTATTTTTCAAGAGGGGCCATCATTTCTTTAAAGCCTTATGTCCAAAAAAGAAGAGCTGTTTGGATTAGTAGTATCTGCAAATCATCCACAATATAAAAAACAAGAACCAGATTACAGACTTTGTTTTGTTTTTTAATTCATTAGGACAACCTGAAATGTCAACAACTTTTCCTAAAAGAATGCATTATTAAAAGGAAATTTATCTTTCTGCATGTACCCCAGTTTTTTACGACCACCATCTTTTGTGTTTCCTAGCTTTTTTTCATGCATCTCCTGCCCAATTTTGCCGAGTGCTGGTGGGATCAAGTCATTCTGGACATCCTCCTGTGCAACGGTGGCGGCATCTGGCTGGGCATGGTCGTCTGCCGATTTTTAGAGATGAGGACTTACCACTGGGCAAGCTTCAAGTGAGTCGTCTTCTTTGTGGTCATCAGTCATGGTTTTTCGCAGCGTATATATAACTACTTTAGTAGCATATAACTTTAGCATGATCTTAGCTGATAAGGAATAAATTATATGTTAGTAATTGAAATTCATAATATCAGGCATTCATCCAGAAAATGCTAAATCATTTATGATTTTCTCAAATCCTTCCCCTTCCCGTTTTTCTCCTTATGCCTCAGCCTGCACTCAGACTCCCTTTGCTGGATTAATTAGTCCTCTGTCCCCAGGTTAGCCCCTCTCAGCCTTCTCACTCCAGTGCATGAATGATCCTCTTGAGAACATCAGAATCATCATGTCCTTCCCCTGTGATGGCTTCTCATGGTCTTGAGGACAAAGTGTACATCCATGGGCTTGGCAGGTGAGGTCCCTTTCTCCATGCCCTCCAGGGTACCCGAGGTTCTGAGCCCACGCACATACTCCTCTCTACCTGGATAGCCCCGTATTCCCATGGGCCAGGCTGACAGCCTTTTCTTCCCTGACTCAGCTCACCTGTCGCCTCTTCAGGTGGTTGTCTCTAACTCTCTAGTTTAAGTTGCATATCCCCGCTCTGTGCCTCCATGGAGGACAGTGCACACCTCCGTCATTCTTTATCCTGCTTCATTGAACTTGCTCCTCAATTTGGTTGTCACAGCAACCATGCCACTGATAAGGAGGAAAAGAACAGCAGTAGCGATAATGGAATTAGTAGTTGTTTTTAAAACTTTATTTATATAACAAAATATGAGCATTTTTCCACATCATTAAATAGTCTTCTAAAACATGATTTTAAAGGGCTTTTTCATATCCCAACATATGGATAAATCACAAAATGTTTAACCAGTTCCCTCTTATGGTTATTAAGCTGTTTCAAAGTTTTTGATTTTATAAAGAAAGCTAGAGTGAACATTCTTAAACATGTATCTTTGTGTGCATCTCTGATTTTTTTCTGTAAATAAATTCTTAAAAATAGAGTACACCAATTTCTATTCTCACCTATATACACATATATATGTATATATTAGCATAGATGTATATACATATGTATGTATATATCCATTTCACTGTTTCTTTGAATTTTATTTTTAAACGTTTTTCAATTTTATCACACAGGAAATTGTGTGATATTCAATCTCTAGTCTGTTTCTATTAGATTTTTTCCTCCTATTGGTGCTTTTTATAGATTGAGTATTAACACTTTGTCATAAATGTGACTTTATTTTCCATTTTGTCATCTCCCTTTTAATTTTGTTTGTGGTAAGTTTTTCATTTAAACTTCTAAAGCTTTTAATCTTTTTGTTTAGGTGAATGTTAACCTGTATTTTCTTCTTGTTCTTTAATGGTTTAATCTTTTATTATAAGTAACTTATTTAACCTATCTCAAGTTTATTTAGTATATGGTGCGAGGAGGAGATTTCACAATGTGTTTGCAACTGATTAACCAATCTTCCCCGGTCCTTTTCTCTGTAATTCTTTTGGCCACTGAATTGAAAAGACACTTTTTAATATATTTCAGGTAGTGTATCACGTAAGGAAATGGTAGCTGTGCTAGGTATTGCTCTGAGCAGGCTTTATGTGCAGTATCTCACTTGAGCCTTGCAGCAATCCTAGGCGTGAACGCTATTATTCTCTTCATTTAGGGATGATGACACCAAGGCTTAGGTTTAGTAAGTTGCCTAAGGACACACAGCTAACAAGCAGTTGAGTCTGAATTTACGTCAGGCTGGCTCCTTAAACTCTGCCATAATGTTTCCCTATTTTTATACATTTATGCCTTGAATTTGACTTGAGAATCAATTTGTCAAGTTACCAAAACACAAACCCAACTAATATGCAGAAATCCCATTGATGTTTTTTAAGTTATATAAATGTATAAATGAATACAGATTAAGTTGAATTAACCGGTTTACCATATTAAGTGTTCCGTCTCTTGATCATGCTGTAGCACTCTGTTTATTCCCATCTTCCTCTACCTCTTTCCATGAAGTTTGCAATTTTTTTTTAATACGAGTCCTTCATCGTTCTTGGTTATTTTTGGATAGTCTCTATTTTTTGTTGCCCTTGTGCCTCGAATCTTCTTGCTGTGAGATTTTCTCAGTACACACTTGTTGATGGGTACTGAGGTGAGTGACTGAAGGAACAAACTCGATTTCCTTCCACTCTCCCCGCCCCCTCCCCCACAAGAATAAGGGCCTGACTTGTTCCTCCTTGTGTCTTCAGCACTTAGCACAGTGTCTGAGGCATAAAGGTCCTTGATGTAAATCTTCGTTGAATTAAAGAATCTTTGCCAGTTATTAAATCCTATTCACTTTGGATTTTGGCTCTTCTGTGCTGGCATCACAGGGCTAGAATATACCCCCAGCTCTGAGGCTTACAAGGTGAGCCTGCGTCAGCCACTTGCCCTCTCTGAGCCTAAATATTCTTATTTGTAATTCTTGGGACTGTTTGTTTCCATCACGGGAGTGTGAAATCTTTAAGTGAGTGGTTTCTAGGATTAAAACCAAGAAAGGTTAAAAGTCACTTTTGGTCATCCCCAACTGCTCACTTCTCTGAGGAAGAAATAGAGTGAAGAAATGATGTGGGTGACCTCTAGAATATGGAGCATGTTCTGTTTTACTCAAGTGCCCTGACATGGGAGACAGCAGGGGTAGGAATTGTGTCCTTGCTGGCGTTCTCGTTCTTCCCGGCCTGGGTCCAGGTGTCTTCTTTAATGCCTCTCAGTGTCTTTTGTCACCAGTTCACAAGTTAAGGCCTCCCCTGGCTGCAGGGACCTGACCTCTGCGCCGTGCCTGTCATCACTGAAATTCCCCGTCCAGTGTGCTGCTCTCCACACTTCACCTGTGACAGAGAGACCGTTGTTGGAGGGACAGTTCAAATAGAAAGGAATCTGTTTGTTCTGAGCATTGGTTGTAAACCAGTCAATGCACAGTTTTTTCTTGTTTTTTGTTTGTCTTCTTCCATTTCCTTGTCTCTTTGGATTCTCACTGGAGCTGTTCTCTTCTTACAGGGACATCCACACCACCACTGGAAAAATCAAAAGAGCTGTCCTCCAGTTCACCCCTGCTAGCTGGACCTATGTTCGATGGTTTGATCCCAAATCTTCATTTCAGAGAGTGGCTGGAATATACCTTTTCATGATCATCTGGCAGGTATTTTTTCAGATGCCCAGAACTAGGAAAAGCAAAATAAAAACCATCCAGGAATTTAGAGTTAATGCTAGTTGACATTGTTTACCAGCTAGATGTTTTAGAAGATATAATATTCTGCAGCTGACATATAGATAGTTAAACAAAGGGATGTTATTACACCTAAGGTCTTGCTTCATCATGAAAACATTTTAAAATATGGATCTTTGAATTACATATTAGAATCAGATTAAAATTCCCTGCAAGAAGCTCATGGTAGCATCCATCACCCAGTGACTGAGGCATTGGATTGCTTTTTAGAAGGATCGTTTTCAGGACCAAAGGAGCAAATGCAAGACTTCTTCTTACAGTCCAAATTCAATATTTGATCGTTAAAATTGTGTCTCAGCTGTTACCACTTTGGATAATTTGTAGAGAGCTAAATAAAGAAGCCCTCTGCTACTTGTGGGGCCCTGGAGCCCTTGGGAGCCCTGGGTCTCCACGGGGTGTTGGCAGTGGAGGGAAGCTCTCATTCTAAGCAGACCATTACATGATGGAGGTAATTCAGACAGCCATGGTTCTGGGAAAGGATTACCAAACATCTCTGTTTTCTAGAGACAGCCTTTTTTATTGATCCTCCTGTTCACAGGTTAATTATTTCACAACTTTGGGAGACTAGCTTTTGCCTGAAGCATCTTTCAGAATCATCAGAAATGATATTTTAAACACATGTGCACAAAATACTCCCAACTTAAGGAAAAAATCAGCATGTGTCACTTTTAAGACAGATAGTCATTGTCCACATATGGAGAATACTAATGCCCATCTCAATAAATGAGGTTTATGGAGACAGGAGTGTATGTGAATAGTTAAATAGTCACCATGGTTTGGGGAAGTCAGTATGTATAAAAATGAGCATGTAAATAGATTGGGGTTGTTTTACCTTGTCAGGGCAATGTCAGGGAAGGTGTAGGTTTTGTTCTATTACAAGAACTGAGGAGAAATTTGGATGTGTCCAAGAGAGACAGCAGTGTGCTCCTAGAATGGCAGCATTCCACGGAGCACACCTTTCCCGTGGGAGTGAGCATTGTGCTGTGATCAGCTTTCCATATATGGTGTTAATTACTGGGCTGTTTTTTGTTTTATATCCTTGAAGTCAGCGCTGTGGGAAAACAACACATTTTATGTCGTTGAAATGAACCTGCTAGTCCATATGATGTGTTCTCAAAGCACAGTGACCTCTCCTAGTCTCTGCCCCTCGCTTAATCTGGAGGGGAAATGCAGGAGCCAGGCTCTGGGCATCGAGCACGTCCTGGCCACAGTCTCTTCAGTGCCGCCAAGGACTCATCATATGATGATGCTAACCTCAGGGAACAGTACCACTGTCCGTAGGTGGAACTTAACTAACACTTCACTCCCACTTTGAAGAGCTGTCTTTGGTGGGGGATCTGCTCGGTCCCAGGCATGTGCTAGATGAGTCCACAGTCATCTCTCAGTGACATATCTCAAGCTTCTTTTGGTTACTGAAGAGCTTACTTTCTTAAAGTCAGACTTCTTTTAGACTTGGCCTAATTTCTATAAGGCTGCCTAGGTGTTCCATGGCACATATTTGTTCTCATGATTTCTGCTGTTCTCAAAGCTTCCTTCTCCCGACCGTCCCAGCAGATCACACGCATGACCCAAGTGTTGGTCACACGAACCAAGGAACGTGACAAATAGCTGATGCCCCCATGTGCCTCTCCCACTACCCCAGCACCTCCCCCTAAAATCCCAGTTGGTTGGTGCCCATATTGTACCAGCTTTTGCCTAGTTTAAATAGCAACCCTTGGAAGACCCCATATATTTTCTGAAAATGCTTTGAACATACCAATTATTTTAGTTGTAGAATGTCCATTTAAGGAATATACGATTATGACTAAGCATGAAGCATCAGGTTGACTAATGAATGCCTCCTGCCTTTTCAGCTGACTGAGTTGAATACCTTCTTCTTGAAACATATCTTTGTGTTCCAAGCCAGTCATCCATTAAGTTGGTGTCGAATTCTCTTTATTGGTGGCATCACGGCTCCCACAGTGAGGTAATTCTGTACAAAGTCTGACTGTTACTTGAGCATATTAACCTGCTTTGCATTCTCCTGCTTAGCATAAGGGAAGTCACATAAAGTAGCAGATTTTCCATAAAAATATCATTCTAAAGAATTATATATCCAGAATATGAAGAAAATGTTTTGCTCTCAGACCTCAGTAACATGAAGTAAATAGCACCACATCATTATCTTCAAACACCTTTACAGGGGCCAGCCCCGTGGCTTAGCAGTTAAGTGTGCGCGTGCCGCCACTGGTGGCCCGGGTTCGGATCCCGGGCGTGCACCGACGCACCGCTTCTCCGGCTATAGTGAGGCCACATCCCACATACAGCAACTAGAAGGATGTGCAACTATGACATACAACTATCTACTGGGGCTTTGGGGGAAAAAAAGGAGGAGGATTGGCAATAGATGTTAGCTCAGAGCCGGTCTTCCTCAGCAAAAAGAGGAGGATTAGCATGGATGTTAGCTCAGGGCTGATCTTCCTCACAAAAAAAAAAAAACCTTTACAATCTTCACTGCTATTGTTTTTTTTCCCTGTAATATCCTATTTAAAAAATAAAAAATGAGTAGCAGTGATGCTGAGGTATTTTTTAAATGAGATTATCAAAAAATACAAAAGTTTTTGTGGTGGATCTGAAGTCATAAATTATGTTATTTTTAGAGTGAGATTTTATTAGCTCTTTTAGAACCAAGTAAGTTGATTTCCTTTTAAAAATATCCTTCCTGTAGTCCTCCAAGATTGCTGAGGTAAGCTTGGACATTCGTGCCATTATTCCCCTGGATTCACATAGGGCCCTAGAGGCGAGGCGTCACTTAGAGACTGTCCCTCACAAAGGCTGAGCCTAGTGAACCTCACAGCGAAACATTTTGATTTGTTTCATTTTTCCTAGTTAGAAATGCCATTTGGGTTTACAACTAATGCTGAATACTGGCGTTGACCCGTGCAACGCCGAAGATCTCTGCACAGCTGATGCAAATATAAACTAAGCAGTTAAAAGGGGTAGCTTTTCAGAAGCGGTAGGATAACTTAATCCATCATTTTTAATGTGTTTGTGAACCACACAAGCAGAGGGCCTCACTGGCCAAGAAGAATGGAGTTCTCCTTGGTCAAACAGACCTTCCATTCCAGCCAGCACCTTTTTTTTGGTCCTCATTCATTATTACAAAAAGAAAAGAAAAAATATATCTCCCCAGATCCTGAACTGAACAAACCAAATAAGATATAGCTGAGTCCTTGGGGAGTTAAGGCCCCAAATTCCATCTCTGTTTTTATTATAAACCAAACAGGAAAGTAACAGTTGGTAAGTGGACAGCCCTTTGACACTTTATAGACCAGTGCTCTACTGAAGTAGTTCTCTCATAAAGGCTGATTTTCCTTGGTGAATTGGAGCCTTCCTCTCCCATTTAAAATTTGATTTAATTTGAGGCTCAAAATTATTTTCAAAAAAGATTAGCAGCAGTTTCTCCATAAAATTAGGAGTAATCAACAAAGTCAGTGAGGAAAGAAATCTCTTATAAAACAGAATATCAAATCACATCTGATTTATCATGAAATTTTGATATTGTTAAACATTTCAAAACAAAAACTAGAGACTGACAACCCAATGTTTTGACTTTTTGAGAGCTCCTTAAAATTCTTGCCAAACCCTATGGATTTCTACATGATTCTTTTTTGTTTAAAAATCAGCCACTTTCTGTGCTCTTCCCCCACCTGAGGCAGCTCCTATGTAAGGAGATGCTTTGACAAGCTACTTGGAAAGATGGAAGTGCTCCATGGGGTTTTAACAGCCACCCTAGTTAGCAAATGCCAGGCCCTAAAAGGAGAGAAGGCTTATGGGCTTCAGGATAAATCACACACACCACATCTCTGTTTTCTTCCTTTTCGGTTAGACTTTCACACGAACCTGCTATGAGAAGATATCTGAGTGAACATTCTTTTAATCTGCTAATATAAAGTGCAGTGTAAGGGGATGAATACTAAAAAGCCTGGTGAAAGCAAATTAAGTTATGAAAATGTGAAGGTAGAGGTAAACCTGAGTTCTTTATAACTAGAATTCTTCCCTTGGGTCTTTGGGGTGAGGAGGTGATAGTTTGAGGATAACCTTCAGGTATCCGTGAATCCCCTGAAGTTTAATGCAAAATTTTGTGTGCATTTTTATGTCTTTCTCATAGCTTTCATCGAATCCTCAAAGGGGGGGGTCTTTGGGGGTCTGTGACCCCCAAAAAGATGATGAGCTCCTGGTTCCGATGCTACTTCAGAAGGGATGGATGGGTTGAGTTTCGGGGGTAGTTATGACAGTCTAAGTGTGCACAGTCCTATAATAGCCACTCACAACACATGGCCATTGAGTGCTGGAAATGTGGCTGGTCCCCGTTGACATGTGCTATACATGCAAAATACACACCAGATTTTAGAGACTTAGTACAAAAACAATATAAAATACTTCTTTATAATGTTTTCAATCTATTGGGTTAAATAATGTATATTATTAAAATGAATATCATCTGTTCCTTTTCACTTTTTTAATGTGGCTACTGGAAAATTTAGAATTGCGTTTGTGGCTTGTATTATATTTCTTTTGGATGATACTGCTCTCAGCCTTTCAACTCTGTGTCATTGCCTCTTTTTTCTGATCTTGTCAGTAACATTCAAAGTCACTGGCATTCACTGACAGTGAGGTGCAGCCTATACCAATTTCTCAGAGCCAAAAATATATGTATTTCTTGCCTGGTTACAATCAGCAACCTTTGTCCTGGAGAGTGCCAGAGGAGACAATTAATGACAGTGTAGGTGATGCTCAGAAATCACTTCCGTAAGAGTGACCAAAGCAGCCACCTGGGGCTGCTTTGTCTCAAGACTTTGGGAGTCGGTCCTTGAATCAAAACTGCCTTTGCCAATATTGGGGCTCTTTAAACCATGCTCCCCTCCCTCCAACCCAGCCCGAACTCTTAACCTCTTTCAGGAATGTTTCAACAGGCACTGGCTTCCTGTTCCCTTGAGTAGAACTAGACCAGGCAGCTCAAGTATGTGGAACAAGGCGGGACATTTTTTATATTCACTCTGTCACAGTGATTTAATTCTATATTGACTTCTTAGTCTCCCAGAAGCTCTCAATGAATTCCACCTTTGTTCTTTCAGACAGTACTATGCCTACCTCACTGACACACAGTGCAAACGCGTGGGAACACAGTGCTGGGTGTTTGGGTGAGTAATTGATCATCGTGGAGGTTTAAAAACCGCTGAAGCCTCTAAATTTCTTTGGTTATTTCTTGACCCTGTGTTAAGTTCCTTTCAGTACAATTTTCCTATGAAGGCCTGCTGTTGTTGTTATATGTCTTTCATTTTTAACATTCTCTTTTCTGATTTAAGTTTAGAAGAGTTAATTGGCAAATTATAGAAAGAGGGTATACAAACTACTTTTTTTAAAAAATTAGGAAATAAGGGGGCCGGCCATGTGGCCTAGTGGTTAAGTTCAGTGCACTCCACTTTGGCGGCCCGGGTTCAGTTCCCGGGTACGGATGTACACCACTTGTTGGCGGCCATGCTGTGGCGGCAACCCACATACAAAATAGAGGAAGAATGGCATAGATGTTAGCTCAGGGCAAATCTTCCTCAAAAAAAAAAAAAAAAAAAATGTTAGGAAATCAAAAGATATTTCCTGCATAGAACTCAGACACCTTGTTTTATGAAATAGATAGAAAATGGATTGTTGCAATTCCCTCTGAATTTAATGACAAATTTGGGACATCATCTTGGGAAAGGCTTACCCTGCTTCATGTGACTTTCACATCAAAACAGCTCCTTGCTATATACCAAGGTATAATTTTATTATTCCAAAGAGAACTAAACATAGCCACATGGTCACAATTTATTGTCTTGTTACAGATAAAATGCTGTATCTGAATTAACTTATTTAAATGATTTGAGAGACCACAGGTTATCTAGTTGAACCCCCAATGTTAAACGTGAGACTGTCTTCAGTATCTCAGTTAAGTGGTCCGTGTGCTTAAACACCATCAACAATTTACCATCCTGTTTAGCAACCAAAGTTCCAGAGACGTCCAGCAAATCTGTCCATGAGATTCAGTCCCTGAGTAGCTTAGATTCAAGTTAGCTTCTAAAATTAGGTTCTGAATTGAGTGTGACAGCATAAAGACAATTTGACAAAAACCTGTAGTAGGGTAGAAATTCATACTTTCAACAGATTTTTAAACAGAATAACTTTTTTCCAATTAAAAAGGGATACATGTGTATTGATAAACAATTCAGAAAAGAAGAAACTAAAGATCATCCAAAGAAGTCAACCATTTACAGATAATTGCGATGAACATTACAATGTCATTGCTTCCAAACATTTTTCTGTGTATGGGGTTGTGTGTGTGTGTGTGTCCAGCTCTCATTCCACATTCTGAGGAGTTACTCAAGTTAGATTTAGGCAGGTTCCCCTCCTGGAATACAAAGAGCCGTTGTCAGTGTTTCTCATACATTCTGTGATGTAAGCTGATTTTCCTACCCACAGTGATTTAAGCTTAAGGGGCGATAAGATGGATTCGATTTCCACTGTTGAATGATCTAGCAGGAGAGAGAATGTACACATCTAGCAGATTTCTAATATGCTGAGCAAGGGCTGCGTGAAGGCAGGATTGCTGAGTCATAGAAAGGAGGGGTGGGGCTTCCCTTTTAGTGCTCGTCCAAGGTGGCGATCTTCCTGCATGTGAGCTCCTCTCCACCGCTGACATCTTCTCTCCACATGCATTTTTCTCCTCACATTTGCAAGTCCTTGGCAAGTTCCTATTCTACTACCGGTGGATGTATTTTCCACAGAACTGTATCTGTTTACCTGTTGAGGAAAAGGAGATGCGGACCAGAAAGAGGTAGTGTTACAGCAAAGTTTCTTTCTAATCAGGCAGCCAAAAAATATAATCCCCGTGGCGGGAGAAATGGCAAAGATAAACGAGGCCAGAGAGTGGTAGAAAACACTGCTACCGAAAGTGGCACCTTGTTGAAAAGTGATAAAATAAGCTAAAAATGCAGAGGAGAGATCATTTGGCTTATTGAGTATGCTTTGTGGAGAACTGAGAACTCCCAGAATGGTGATATCAAGATTAATGAATCTTGAGAACTAGTGGGCCATGCTGAGCAACACCCAGTCCGTCTTCCTGAACCACAGGCGGCAGGCCGCGGCGCGCGTGCGCGGCAGGGGCGGAGGAGGAGCAGGAGGCCCGAGCCCCCCCCCCCCCCCCACACTGGGGCCCTCAACCACCCAAGCCCCCCCCCCCCCCCCGTCTCTTCCCTCTGGATGGCTGCCCCACCGAGGCCACCGCCTCCCTTCTCCTGCCCCTTCTCTCCCACTGCCTCCCTCTTGCCCTCATTTTGTCTTTTTTTCATCTCCTATCAAAACAGCAAACGCTTAAATGTCTGATTTTCCGCTAACAACTAGTAGCTGCTTTATAGCTTTCTTTTCACTAATTTTGGAAGGATTTCTGACTTTAGCAAGGTGTGGCCATGTCAGGGAACAGAGTAGGAGCGCCCGATGTAGTGACGTTTGCTTTCGCCTGTGGGAAAGAGGGAGGGCGGAGGGGAAAGGTCAGACAGGACCGCCCTAGGCTTCTTTCCCACCATTCCACATCTTCTCCGGGAGAGGGCGCTGTTGTCCTGTCTAAATGCTGTACCCTCACAGAGTTGGTGTTAATTACTCGCTGATGTAACTGAGTACCGACTTACAGTATGGTCTCCTACGGCTGTACCATAGATCTCAGCTTTTAGGCCTTTTCTACTTAAACGAGCTGTGCCCAGCAGAGAGAGATAGGACTCCATCCAGCTAGGGAATGGGAACCCCACCAGGGAGAACGCAGTGTGTGTGAAAAAGTTGGCTTCTCTGTTTAGAAAGTCACCTTATGTTACTTCAGGTCTGTGGGAGTATTTGGGCCAAACCCAGGGGAACAATTCCCCAGGTGTGTGCTCTCTATCATCTTTATCTTCATCTTTCTCCTACTCCACCCTTGTGATAATTGAGCTCTGTGCCTCAACCAGAGAGAATTAGCCTGGTTTATAAGGAAAAGGTGTTTGATCACTTGGCCGGGGAGGGAAGGCATTTAAGCTTTGGCTTTAACGGGAGCCAACTTTCCTCTTCCTGAAAGTTCTTGGGTTGGTCCTTCAGGGGTTGGGTAAGTGCACTGTGCCCAGGACTGGATCCCGCCTGGCTGTCAGCACCAGCCTTGTCCCACTAGTTTCCTCGACACATGTTGTCTCAGCCCTACTAGTGCCCCCGTTACGAGCTTCCGCCTCTGCTGCTCCGCTAAATTGTTCTCTGCAGGGTCAGTGCCAAACCAGCAGGTCTTTTCTCTGTCCTCATCTCTCCTATCTTCACCGCGGTATCTGTCATCTTGAAACTGTTCTCTTCCTTCTCCGCCAGCTGTCCTGGTTTTCCTCCTACTTTTCTGTTTCTCCTCAGTTTCCTCTGCTGGCTTCCCAGTCTGTCTCCCTCTCCCCTCCACCACTTCTTGTCATCGTGCTATTGTTCTTCCAGGCTCTTTTTTTTTTAAGGATGGATAGAGCTATGAAGCACAGCATCCTTCCAGGAGGAGGGGGTGTGCTGAGGGGAAAGGACAACTGTGGACGGTCTCCTCCGACTCTTTGACCCTTCCCACGCTACCGGCTCACCACCATCTTCCTGTTCACCTCTGACCACACAGCCTCTCTCACCTGTCCTCGCCTTCCTTCCCGCTCCTCACACGTCTCTGTTACCCTCCGTGCTCACACTACTAGAGTAGCTTTACAAGCCAGTTTCCCTTTTCTAGAATCTTCCCTTTCATCCCATCCTCCTAAGGATCGTTCATGCTTTACTCTGCCACTCCCTGCTCCTTTGCTCAGAACCTCTGGCAGGAGTTAACAAAATTTTTTTAGCAGCTGATTCCCTTTCCTCAAATGGCATCTTGCCCTAAACCCTAACATACAGCAAAACAAGTGAGCAGAACTGTTCTGGGTGTACCACCCAGGACTCTCTTGTCCCTCTTCTCATGTCCCCACCCTGCCCCTGGGGTTTGTGGGAAGTCAGAAAGTTCCCTGGAGCATAGTTGACATGTTTTTCTATCTGGTTAGGCCCAGCTCAGCTGTCACTTCCTCCAAAAAGGTACCTTTGCTCACCCTAATCAGAACTGGAACCTCACTCCTGAACTTCCAGAACACTTCCTGGCTACCTGTGTGATTGTATAGTAGTTGTGTCATATTATGCATATCTCTTTCCCACTGTTGGAGGATCAGCTTCCTGGCTGGCAGAAGAGTGGCTCACCGACTCCTGAGCATTCTTGTGCAGTAGTGCATTCTTGTGCAGTAGTGCATTCGTGTCTGGTAGTGCATTCTTGTGCAGTAGTGCATTCGTGTCCGGTAGTGCATTCTTGTGCAGTAGTGCATTCGTGTCCAATAGTGCATTCTTGTGGAGTAGTGCATTCGTGTCCAGTAGTGCATTCATGTCCAGTAGTGCATTCTCATGCAGTGGTGCATTCTCGTGCAGTGGTGTATTCTCATCCAGTAGTGCATTCTCGTGCAGTAGTGCATTCGTGTCCAGTAGTGCATTCTTGTGCAGTAGTGCATTCATGTCCAGTAGTGCATTCTCGTGCAGTGGTGCATTCTTGTCCAGTGGTGCATTCTCGTGCAGCGGTACATTCTTGTCCAGTAGTGCATTCTTATGCAGTAGTGTATTCTCGTCCAGTAGTGCATTCTTATGCAGTAGTGTATCTTGTCCAGTAGTGCATTCATGTCCAGTAGTGCATTTTTGTGCAGTAGTGCATTCGTGTCCAGTAGTGCATTCTCGTGCAGTAGTGCATTCTTGTGCAGTGGTGCATTCTCGTGCAGTGGTGCATTCTCGTCCAGTGGTGCATTCTCGTGCAGCGGTACATTCTCATCCAGTAGTGCATTCTTATGCAGTAGTGTATTCTTGTCCAGTAGTGCATTCTTGTGCAGTAGTGTATTCTTGTCCAGTAGTGCATTCGTGTCCAGTAGTGCATTCTTGTGCAGTAGTGCATTCGTGTCCAGTAGTGCATTCGTGTCCGGTAGTGCATTCTCATGCAGTGGTGCATTCTTGTGCAGTGGTGCATTCTCGTGCAGCGGTGCATTCTCGTGCAGTGGTGCATTCTCGTGCAGCGGTGCATTCTCGTGCAGCGGTGCATTCTCGTGCAGTGGTGCATTCTCGTGCAGCGGTGCATTCTCGTCCAGTGGTGCATTCTTATGCAGTAGTGTATTCTTGTCCAGTAGTGCATTCTTGTGCAGTAGTGCATTCATGTCCAGTAGTGCATTCTCGTGCAGTGGTGCATTCTCGTTCAGTGGTGCATTCTCGTGCAGT